GAATATAACAATCATTCCCATTTTACACAACATCTTGAAATAATGAGCTCTATTAGCTCAGATCAGCAACTATTTAGTTTAACTTCAACAGTATTTAAATAAAGTACTATGTAATGATGCATTTCTAACAGTTGATTCATGCATCATTCGAAAGTTCTTTTTTTCTGCATACTGCAATCCAAAAGAGTTACTCAAAGATTCTTTTACATTTCTTCGAATTATAGTTTCATAATAAATGTAGTATCAGAACAGTAATAAGCAGTAAAAATATTTTCTGGAGGTTATTATTTAAATGTCTCACTTTAGTTTTGAAAACGCTCGGAAGAATTCAGGACCGAAAAGTTTTCGGTGACATTTTTTGATTCAAGAAACATTTGTCAAATAATTTTTACTTTATGACGAAAATCAGTATTTTCGACATGCTCCCAACACTGTGTCAATGTTCTGAATGGACACATTTTTGCCAAAATTTTCATGATAGGTCTAAAAGTTCGCAGAAAAAGTTGTGTATAAAGTGGTCGATATCCTAGATGGTGGGTCGATAGCCTGAAGTGGTCGATACTCAAACACAATATCAAAACTTTGTTCTTTCTTGTTGAAGAATTGCACTGGAATTTATTTTATTATTTACTCTCTTAAAAGGATATCAATCATACATTTTGCCATGGATGTCTCTCTATTAAGAGATGGTACAATTTCTGACTTTTCTGTAGTGGTCTTCAAATGAAATGTTGAATTACCTATTGGTACTCTTGACATGTATTACCTTTTAATTGTTACTTGGCTCTTTAAATTCAACTGTTCTAGTTTGCATGGTATTTGTTACCAATCAAATATCTTCGCATTTTTAGTTGGTCGATCAAAAGATCGACTCGTCCATTTTCAAGCGTTATTTCAAGTAAAGATAGAGTTGAACGTTTTTGAATTTGTGTTAAATTAATCTAAAAAAAGATAGTTACATATCACTGGACTTTGAAATTTTCAAATCCGATTTTAGTCAGAGGGAAAAAAAACTAAAAGAGCCTTTTATCTGTTTCCGGTTCAAATGAACATCTCTGTAGTGCAAATAGCAGCGCAACTGAAGTGCACTGAATCGGTTGGACTTGTGATTTGTTACCAAATACTAAGATAAAGAAATAATTTCAAAGAGTGGAAACATACATTTATGGGTGCCAGAGAGGATGAAAAGTGAAAAAAAGTTCAGTTGAAGAAAGACGAACGACAACAACAACGTTTTAACCGAACAATATATCCGAATTTAAATGATTAGATTGTCTTGTTATTATTATTCTAATATATCTTAAATTATTTTATTCTATTCGTCTTATCACAATTACGAATGTCATTACACAAAGATACAACGTTTACAAGTAAATATTTTAGCATTGTTGACCTGTTTGGCATAGAGTCGATCTATACTGAAACGCTGCACTCGTCTTCAATTTCGTGTGATGCTACTAACCAAAGAATATTAGGGACAACAATACCAGGTAGTGTACGGTAGCTAAATGTACTAATAATACTCTAGTAGACGCCGCACAGAGTGTTTTAAAGCAGTGCAGTCATATCACCAATGTTAAGAGATACAAGTTAGCGTATCTCTACTCTGGACAGCTTTGTATCCTGAAAAGAGTTTTATTGGAACTGCGTGATTATCTTGAAATATGTACCTGTCTATAGGTTTCTAAGAACTTTAAAGTTTCCTCGTTTAGCGAAATCAGCATTTCCAACAGAAGATGCCATAAATATGCTCTTTTGTTTGTTTCAATCATCTGTAGTATTTACCTCCGGTATTAACTGCCAACGCATCTCAGCCATGTTCTAGTAAGAGTATCTATCATCTTTCTATTGATACTCGGTAATATTGTTCTATAATTACCTGTTCAGACGAACATGATTTCTCAATCACTTTTTTCTTCTCTACTGTTTGTGTTATAATTTAAGTCATGATTCCTACCAGGACGTATCGATCACGTACACATCTAGCCGAAAATAACCAGTCATAGTCACGCACGTTCTTTTCTTTCGCAAGTGATAGCTCTCTTTCACTTTTTACATCTTGAAACTGCTTTTTCTGCGAGACTAGTACTTTCAATACAACAACAAAAGTATATTAGACCAATCTGAAAATTAGAATAGAATATGAATCTCGGTAGCTGTTGAATGAAGTCGCTTAAGTAATCATCTTCAGTAATCTTTTTGTGAAATGATCATGAAAATGAGGTGTGAATTTATTTCTGAAAATGTTTTATTGTAAACACAACACTATAATGTATGAGATAGTGCTTAAGAAAACTTGAGAAAGAAATGCGAACGCGGTGTGGCCGGATATACAGGAATTATATTTTGTGAACTTCTACGACCAGTTTCGCGGAAACTGGTTGAATGGATCAGAAGTTGTGTCGAAAAACAGACGTGGTAACGGACTTACAGTAAAGAGAATTTTTCTGGATGATTTCTGGTCACTAAGAAAGTGTCTCCAATTAGACTTGATAAGATAACTCTTTTACTTAGAAATGACGCTAAAGGTTTTAGCTTTCTGAATCACTATCTGGTTTTGTTATCAAATACCTCCCATGCAGATGAAAAAGTTGTACGAGGGATGCAGGAAGTGCTCGAAAACTGATCCTCTTGGAAGGCTAAAACGCTCGAAAAATGAGACTTCAGATCCTCGATATAGGCTATCGATTTCGAGCCCGCTATCTCTTGAAGGCTCGTTACCTATCTGAAATCCGGGAGTTCGAAGTCCATAACCCTTCGAAAGCTTATACCGAGGATCCAACGTCTCATTTTTCGTGGAGTCAGTCGTCGGCGAGGGCCCATCGAAGGCATTTTAAACTTTAATATTTAAGCATATGTAAACTGACAGTAAGTTGCTTAAAACTTTAAGTTTTAACAAAATTATTCGACTTTTACTTGATGTTGCGAAATAGTACTTCCGAACAGAATAGAAGACCCCGAGTCTTTTAATGTATCCAGAAAAGTCAGAAATTGTACCATCTCTTAAGATTTTGGGATTTTTGCTAGCTATATTAGTAAATCAAAGAATAGATGATATACAGCAATATGAAAATTGTCCTTTTGTTTCTGTTTCTTCTCTTTTGTTCTTCCAATGTACTTTTCATTTTTGTTCAAAATAAAAATTTCCTCAAAGCAATTTTGCTCATTTTCCAGTTGCTCAAAACACATTTGCTCATCTTTCGTTTGCTCAAGGCCTGTTGCTTAAATAAATTTTTGCTCAAAATTTTTTTGTTCGTTTTCTTTTACTAAAAGTCATTTTGCTCAAATTCGAGGTTACCAAGACTCTTGATTCGCACAGAAAATGGTTCTTCGCCCTCACCCGCTCATTGTTGAGCCACGTATAGAAACATAGAATCAGGGTGGCCAAACGGATTGCTACGATCAATGAATTTCTCTAATCAAATTTTATCAGGAGAATGCGTTGATCTTAACGCTCCGGTTGGTTACCCTCGACAGAACTTGCATTCCTTGACAGTCAGGAGTTCAACCAATGAATTTTCAGACTACAGCCTCTACAATGATGAAATAAGCACTTTTGGACAGTCATATAATCGGTACGCATGACGTCACGCTGAGTACCGTGCATACATGTTCTTCATGCATACCAATCGTAACAGAGATCATGCTCGCCGTGCGTACACTGCGTACACACATCTGACGTCCACGTACAACAGCCGTAGCGATTGACCTAGTTCATGACTGTTCGCCATATGTGTCATAGCCATTCAATCTTTCAATGCGACATTTAGTAAGATGTAGAGGCACAAATCAAAATGAATGAAAATGGTCAATATGATGAAGAAAGAAAAAGGGTGGAGACTAACTATATACAGATAGATTCGAAAGTTGACTGAATTTAAAAGTAATCAGAGAAAGTTAAAACACCAAATTTTAGATATTTATACGGTATTTGTATTTTATTTAGGGTAATGACTGTGAACATGATGCATCCGATTTTTTAATAAGTCAATTAATCGATGAAGATACTATATTCACTTTGTAAACTATACAATGTATACCATGTAATGCGATAATGATGATTAATTATCTTATCGAAGAATATATGTTGTATGCACTGTTAACTAACACGTGACTAATAGTTATCTTGTAGACGGAAGTGGGCAATTTTTGAAAATGCCCTCACCTATTAATTATAGGTGAAATAACTCAATATATGCTAAGAGCTAAGCATATTATAATAATAGCATGAGATAGTTGATCTACAACTGCTGGATTTTCGAATCATCTTACTTTCAACAGTGAGCAATCAGCTGTGGAAAAGGATTGGCTAATTCAAGCACAAAATAATTTCTTCTGGTAAAAAGAAATCAAGCTCTTTCGTTTCATTTTGTAGACTTAACGAGAAATGAACGAAAAGGCGGCGAGATGCGATGCTATCAATGTTTTGGGTACACTTTACATAAGAAAAAGAGAATTATAACAGGGGTATTTGCTTATATTAGAAAGAGTATTATACAGCAAGTCTTTCCTCAAGCTTCAATCTTAATCTTCGCTCAAAAGCAGATTTGTTCTATCGATCAAAATTTTATTTCCAAATTTTTCCTAACAAAAATCGAATACGATTTCTTCCAATGAGAATTAGAAAAATACTTAGAACTAAGTTTAGATTAGATTCAGTATTCTGGAAAAGAAAACAAGATCACGGTACAGATTTTCGTTTCTTCACTTGTTGAAGTAAGAACGAACGATGATTAGATAGTGTTCTTTATCTTATTTCCTTGCTATTAGTTTAGCAAAACCAAATAGCTGTTTAGCATAGGTGATGATTTTGCTTAGAATAAGACGGTCTTGTAGATAATGCTGATAGCAAAAATAATTCTTTTTATATCGCTAGGTTTTAAGTATAATTATTAGATGACTTTGAATTTTTTTATAAACAACTATATATCTTTTTTGTTTTAGATTTTTTGCTTGCTAGATATTTTCTTCTCACAAAGCATAATTAAAAGTAAATAAACATGTCGGGTGTTTCGAAAGATCATACGTCAGTACGGTAAGTCATTGCATTGTTTATCAGTCTATCGTATCGATTATCTCATGCTTTTTGTTTTTTCTGTTCAGTGTTGTCGCGCCTCCCGGTGGTAAAAGTTTCAATATTTTTGGTACGTCAGAACAAGAACAAGCACAAACAAATAAAAAAAATCATATGGTTTCCGATATATTTGGTTTGGTTAATAACGGAGAAACGCAAAAGTATACAATCATAATGGGTGAAAATCATTTCTAATGTAATTTAAAAATACGTTTATTTTATATAGATCATCACGTGGTCGAGATAATTCTGGCATACATATATTTGGTGGCAAGGATGAAACCGATCATGTTGTAACAAAATCATCAACAGTTTATTCTGATAAAAATAAGTCAAATATATTTGATGGTCCACAACAACAACAGCAAACACAAACAACAAAGCCCGATCGTCAACGTTCAAATATATTTAATAGTCAAAATGAAATAAATGAAATAAATCATCAAAATAATAATCGTGAAGCAGATTTGCATAAACAAAATCAAATGCGTTCAAATATATTTGGCACCAACGATAGTAACGGAAATAATGATCATGTTCAGAAAACAGCAGGAGTATATTCAGAAAAAAATAAATCGAATATATTTGGAAATAATAATGAAAATGATCAAAAAAAAACAGGACGTCAAGGAATAAGAGGTAAGTATCAAGCATCATACAATAATTGATAAAGTGAATTGTTATGGAAAAATATTTACTGTTGAAATTGACAGATTTGCAGAGCAGACTAGACTCTATGCGCTGTAATTTAGCTCTTATAGCATCAGTAACTATCAACAACAATTGCAATGTTTTTAGTTTTTATTGTGCAAAATTATTTTCGTTCTTTTCAGATCCAAACGCATCATTGAGTGAGTGTGTGGTTGTTTATTTTAGTCTGAAGCAAGAACAAATAGGCATTTTAGGAATTATGGATTTATAAAACGTTTCTATTTACTTTCTGTCTCTTTCTTAATTTTACTATCTATGAACTATATAGATACCAAGGATAATTATTTGAAACTATCCTTAATAATACAGATAGAATAAAAAATTAAAACTAAACATTATCTTAGAAAAATCAGATTATTCTTTGATTCATTGTATAGAGAGTTTAAACCCTACACAAATGAAGAGTATTCAAGTTTACAACCTTATTATTGAATTATCATTTTGAAAGAGACGGATAGTCTACAGAAAGTAAGCAGAAAATTTCTCTAATCAATTTTGAGGTGTAGCGAAGAAATGATATTTCTTTCTGGAAAAAGTTTAAATTCATTTCTCAAATAGTAGAAGGCGGATAAAGATGCTTTCTGTCCTCTGTGTGCGTAGCGTTTGTTAACAAAAACACCGATTTGGTCACTTTGACTACTTGTTTTCTGTGAATTAACGAATTTTAAGCAGTTAAGATGTTAAATTGTTTTAGAAACTATTTTTTGTTGTTATTATCGTCTGTTTCCATTTATGCATGCTCTTTTTAGGCTTTTAAAAAACATGTACACATTCGGCATTGTGTATTTCTCCTATGTCATTTAGTGCCATATTTGGTTTAAAAATGAAAACGAATTCGTTGTGGCAATAACAGCAGCTTATTGTGCAGTTTCGTATTTATCCTATTACAAAACAATTAGAGGTCTCTGAAACAAAATATATATGTGTATATATTTGTGGAATTGATACGCTTTTGTTGGCAAAAAAACATTTGTAAATAAGTGGAAGTTGTATTTGAGTGTCTTAGCCAAGGCTCTATTGCCTCAACAATAATCACAACATTGACTTTCACTTGTTTATGAATGTTTATAAAAGACGCTTTTTGTTATTGATAAAATTGGTTTTACCTTGCTTCTTGTGTATTAAAATACTCGCTGTGTATCTATGTACTTTATTCATATATACCAATTACTGATGTGGGTGTGTCATGTTAACGGCTGTTGCAAAAGTTTTTGTACAAATATCAAACACTGTCATTTAATTGGTCTAACGTTCTACAGAGTCAAATTATTTTTTAGTTAAAAAAGCCGAATCTAAATTACATAGTTAGCCTCTAAGACAGTGTATTTTATAAAAATCCATTGTGTTTAATTTTATATACTGAAAGTTATTGAAAAAAATTCATTTCATTTGTTCGTATCCACTACTACTCTCTCAGACAAAAAAATCTAATTTCTAGCGCGTTTATACGTTTAACATCTATAAAAAAACTTTTGCAACACCAACTAGTTAAGTTTTTTGCTTTATTGCACACTCATACGTATTAATAACAACATATATTTATATTTGTTTTTTCTATGCTTCTTGTGTGGCTTCTGTTTCCAAAAAAAAAAATACTATGCTAGTATTATTTTCATAGCGAAATTCAAGTAACGCTTTATAGTTTCCTATTATTTTTTAATTAAGTATAATAATGTTATCTTGCATATTGTTCACTAACTAACTGTTGTTTTTTTATTATTTAAAGTGGGTTATAATTGTATTACTGGTGAATATTACAACACAAATAAAAATCTTGATGTTGCTAATGAGAAAAAACAACAAGTATCGACGACTAACGATGTTCATGATCAAAATGGAGCTGATAATCATGATGCTAAAGAAAACTCGAAGGATGATAATAAGATTGAAAATGGTACTACTTTAACAACAGCAGTGGAACAAGATTTAAGTGTTAATGGATCGGATCATACTCCCAATGAGAATAGTGAAATGACAACAAATGGAGCTGCTGCTCAAGCGACAACAAACGGGGCTGACATACAACATCAACAACAAGTATGTTCGAATCGACCCTTATAATTTACTTTCGAAGTTTCTACTAGAGAGCCACTAATACATAATGAATTTACTTAGTTAAATATGGTTGAGTTTCTTAATGTAGTGTACACTCAAACACAAGTTTAGTTGTTCGAGTCTGCTGACTATACTGTTCAATGATGATCATATATATCGCCGTTTACCTGTATGAACAAAAGTGATTTGAAAATATATAATGAACTGAGAACAGTAAATGCTATAAATACACATACTTTTCTGGAAATTATTTCCCTTAACTGATTACAAAATTTTTAATACCTAAATAAAAGTTAAAATTCTTTGGTTAGTCGATAGTTGTATATATCAGAGATCGTATTTTATTCTAGTTTCATCTCTACACATTAATTACACAACTTTTATTCAGTAACTAAATTTCTACCTTGTTTTCTTCTATAGACTATCCATACAGTCAGTCGTGTTTTGCAACCGCCTGGAGGAAAATCACATGGTCGTTTATGGTAAAGAAAATTCTTACACAGCAACAGCGATATATGTACACAACATCGCATCCATACGAATTTTTTGCATAACTGTCGTTCTATCATTTTTTACCTATACAGTATTATTCTCGTTTTTCTCTTCTTAATACAATGGTTTTTTCTATATCGTACATTAGCTTTTTTTGAAACTCAATGATGCTTTTTTTGAATTTTCATTGATGTTATTCAAAGATATTAACTACTTTTTATTGACATTTTTATGCATGGTGTGCATAGATACACAGTCATCACGTGTTTTTTTTTGCTCTTTCTCTTTCTCATTTATTTGTATATAAATATAAATCTCAAGAAATAAGGTTAAGAACCCAATATAGATCAGATACAACTACATTCATTTGTATGTATGTACAAGCAACGTCTGATTTTTCTCGTCTTTAGTCGTATCATTGTGCGGTGTTTCCTCTTTTACTTTACGTCTGTTCCTCACTGTGTATCTACATATTGTAATTTTTACCACCACAAAACTAGAATTTTTCATTTTTCATTTTTATGCTGAAATATTCTTATGTATGTGTGTCGTTTTTCAACATCATAATTATACTTTTTTGGAGAATGAAATTAATTGATAAATTGTTATGTTTTCGTGTGTGTGCGTGTGTGAATCTTGCCTCTAGATTAAATAACATTATTTGTGAATTTTACGCTTGCTACTTTATGTTGCGTGTCTGTGCTTTTTACTTTTTGCTGTGCATTTATATGTATGTATTAACCAAAGCATAAAGTTTCTTATTCTTAGTTAAATAAATTTTTGACAGAATTACTTTTTCAACTATCGACGAAAAATAGCTTTTTACTTGACTAGTTTTTCGGAACTAGTAACCTGTTGCTGAGTTGTACTGCCTTGACTTTGTATGAAAAAGTGCAACAAAATCGAACTCAAATTTAGAAGAACTTTATCTTTGATAGTTAAAAAAATGTCTTCTTGTTTCTTTTTAATCTTTCTACCAGCGAGATATGGCTAAGTTTAACTTTTTTTATTTTAGATATGAAAAAAAGCTGATATTTTTCGAGATTTGGCGCTGCTCGCCTTTTAAAGATCTGAATGAGAAACAAAGATAATTAAATAATTGCATAGGGTATGTTGTACTTAACTAAAACTGCAGACTTTAATTGTGCAGTCCGCTTTTTTTTCTTGTTTAAGTGCAGAAACTATCAGAAAATGATGTCCAACGGTACGTTAGACAATGAAATGTATGCATCGCCATTTCAACAGGTAAACACTAGTATATTCACGTTTCTTTGCGTTTCTTTAACCCAGAAATACACAACATAGAACTGTGTAAGAGAATTTATGCACACCAAGAAACATATGTGAATGAGTATCTTTTCACACAAATCCACTAGGGGGATGGCTTTCATGAACACAGTCTGAAACAAGACTGTCTATCTTAACCACATGTAGGCTCTAGACTTGTATTCATTAGCGGCCATTATTTGACCGTACTCTTTAGAAGAATAGTAGTTTTTCTTCAACTTCTTGTTGTATATTGTTAAAAATACGTTTAAAATGACGAAGTCCAACAAAGAGCAAATTAAAACTTATATGAGAAATAATGATCAATTAATTAAATTCATAAAACTCAAAGAAACTGTCAAATCTGGAACCTGAACCAAACATAAACCCGAAAAAAATTCTTTTTAAAGACGAATCTGGGGGTTCGTCAGGACTCTGCTTAGTACTAGCTACTTCCTGAATATCTAGAAAATGCTCATATATACCATTTGATCCAGTAAAGCAAAGCGATGATTGAGTTGTCGATACATCCATGCGTTAAAATCAGTGGCGTATTGTCTCATATGAAAGGAGAAAATGTTTGGAAAAGCTTGCGGATGATTGCGATTGCGATGATTTAATTGGTCGTTTTTAGCCTCGTTTCAATAATTTTCACACCACACCTCCCCGAATCGGTCCGTCCTATTATAATTCGAGTTATTCTCAACCAACACTTTTGACGAGAGAATCTCCACTTGGTGGCAATGGTACAAGTACGAATAATAGTGCTTATTTAGCGGAATTACATTCACAATCAGTTAAATATTCATCGCATGTAAGTGCATTATTAGTAGAAGATTTAACATGAGTTCATCATGTTTAATAAATTTAGAACAATAATGTCATTGGTAGCTCAAGACTTGCACATATTGGAAATGGTTTATATGGTGGAACAAATTCGCTGGGACCAGTCTCAAGTCATGGTAAGACGATGATATTTAGTATTCGCGTCTGCTTCTGAAATGGAATAAATTGAATATTATTTTAATTTGTATGCTAGAATAAATAATCATAGAATTGCTGCGCGCGGCTCATTACCCAACAGACTTTACTCTTTCTCGCATTTGGCACGTTAATTGCGTTTAGTGGTATAATTTCGTTATGGTCTTATGGGTCAAGCATGGCCATCTAACATTGATTTTGACCTTGTATTTGATGTTTTTCTTTCAGTTCGAAAAACTTTGCAACCTGCAAGTATGCTATGTTCACTAAACTCGTTTTTATTTTTTTTTTGCTTGTATTCTGCACGTTGAATCAATATTTGGGCAATATAATTTGTCATTCTTAAGAAAAGAAATGTGCATGCAAGTGATTTTTTAGTTAAGCTGTATCCAGTCCCATTAATCTCACTAACAAAACTTTTATTGTTACTTTTCAATTCTCTTTTAATACCGCTATATATGTATCGAAATTTCAGTTGATGCAGCTGCGACATCTCCACGCAATATATCACCTGAAACTCTTGATTTTTACCCCTATTCACAACTTCAATTACAATTAACCGAAGATGATTTATTAGCATCGAATACAAATCTTGATGAAAAAGAAAGAACAGCACCACCAGATAGTTCTTTTATTCGGCATGTCAGACCTGATTTTTCCTATTTCATGTCGGATGAACTACGGTATATAGCGCTGTTTTTATTTCTATTATGCATTATTTTATTATATTCTCTGTTGTTTTTTTAGAGCAGAAATATTGAGACGAAATCAAATGTTAATAACATGTGCAAATCTTGATGTTGCTGCCGGTATTTATTTTGAATTTTCACTTAATTCTATTAATGAATTATAATTTTTTTTTGTTTTTAGCTATGCCTGAACGTGTTGGTGATTATTACAATTTAACACCATTGGATAGTAGTCAAGCAAATGTTGCTCATAAATCACGAACATTTCGACATCAAACACTAAGTTATAAGGCAACTCATATACGTACAAATGCTGTATGTTATTTAAAACGAATAATGGGTAACTAAAAAACAATTGAACAAAAAATCAATATATGATATTCTTTTTCCTTCATCGTTTATTATGATTAAGGATGTAAATTACCAACAACACGACAATATGAAATATGCGAAATATGGAAAAAGTTAGCTCACGCCAACATTGTACAACTACGTGATGTTTTTCTAACAAAAGATTTTGACGACGATCAAACATGTAAGGAAGATTAGAAAAAACACAAAGAAATATAATTCAAATTCTCTTTTTCTGTGTTTGACTTGTAGCGGTTGTGTTTGTGTACGATTTTATCCCATGCTGTGAAACATTACAAAAACGTCATTTCAGTTCATCTAATATACTGTCAAAAGGATGGTCTAATCCGTATAATCTAGATGGAAAAGATCGACCATTTAGTGCTGGCAAAGGTAAATCATAGTCTTTTAATATTCACTAAGAAAGGCATCTAGTCCGAGTTTTTAGGAACAACTCAAGCTGGTTTATTAGCTGAAGCACTTATTTGGGAATATGTTGTGCAAATATCATCGTTAATCCGCACAATTCATTCGGCCAATCTTAGTTGTCGATGTTTACATCTGTCACGTTTACTTGTCGACGGTGATTCGAAAGCTTCTCGAGCTAAATCGAGGTACCAATTCTTCCTCTTCTTCTTCTAATGATATCTTATCTCGTTGTCCATGTTCTTAAGGGTATGGTTAAGTGGTGTTGGAATCGCTGATATTTTAGATGTTGGAACAAATGGACAAACACACTCTCTGCTCGTTCAACATCAGGTACATAATTTCTTTCATGCGACGTTATTTTTTTCGTTGAGACTGATTTTTCTCTTTTAGCAAAGTGACTTACAAGATTTTGGTCGACTTGTATTGATGTTGGCATGTAATTCAATTGTTGGAGCACAAAAAGAACATCTACAAACATCACTGGAAATTGTACATAGAAATTATTCACTCGATCTGAAAAATTTAATTATGTAAGTGGAATTGACCTTTGAATTAGCTTACAAAAGTAAAAAATTTAGATGATAACGGCTTAATTTAGCTTTCTATAATAATGATTGCCTACTATGGCAAAAGAAACGAGACTAAATGATTTGATCTGATTAACTAGTCCTACTTTCTTCTTCTTAATAGTTTAAAGTCGTTATTTCTGTTTTAAAGCCATTTTTTATCGTTAAATAATCGACCAATGAAAAATATCAATGATGTTATGCCAATGATTGGTGCAAGATTTTATGCACAAATCGATAGCCTGTATATTCGAGGTGACATTATTGAAAATGAATTATCCAAAGTAAGCAGACATTTATTCTTATAACAAGGACTATTTTATCCGTTTTATTGTTTAGGAGATTGATTGTGGTCGTCTATTTCGACTTATCTGTAAACTTGATACACTTCTCGAGCGTCCAGAGTAAGTATGCCGAAAATACTGTCAGTAAAGTGTTAGTTTATCACCAAATCTGACACATTCTGTGATAGTTAGTCTCTATAAAAACTTATCTATATTCGTTTTTTTCTTTAGACATGCATTAAATCAAGCATGGAGTGAAACGGGTGATCGTTATATTCTCAAATTATTTCGTGATTATGTATTTCATGGAGTTGGTTTCAATGGTGAACCTATTTTGGATTTGGCTCATATTGTACAGTGTTTAAATAAGGTATTCTAGCGAAAATGCATTTTGACACTTGTTTTCTCCTCACTCAAAAGTATTTAATTTTGTTTTTTTTAAATTTAGTTTGACGGTGGTTCACACGATAAGATTTGTTTAACATCACGTGATGAACAAAACGTCATGATTGTTAGCTATAGTGAATTACATCAAGCATTTGAACGTGCATTTTCTGAGTTAATGAATTATGGTACATCAACGTCTTAAGTTTTGTCCTTCTGTTGTTTGTCCATAACTGATTTCTTCGTATTGTTGTTGTTGTGCGCACAATTTACAACGAAGAATGAATTTTTATTTTTATTTGCTGTATTTCGTGTAAGATAACGTTTTAAAGATCTGTAATTATTTGTCTGTATCGTTTAATCTCATATACGCATCGTTCTCTCTTTTTATCTTCAGTGTGTTTTCTGCCGTCGTCGGGTGTACATAAAAATATGTAGTTTTTCGTTCGTTTTTTTTTGCTTCTATCTCCATAGTTTGTCTGAAACGATTTTTGTGTAATATATTTACGTCTCTATCTATTTTTCTCTCGCTCTATGTCGTTATTCGATGAATGTTCACTGTTCTTTTATATTAAAACAAACAAACAAACGCGTCCTCGGCAGTCAGATTCATGGTAACAAATTTTTCTTCGAAACAAATGTTGTTGTATCATTATCTTTTCTTCTTTAAGAGGCAATAAATTATTTTTAAAAATAAATAGAACAGATATTCTTCAATTGACAAAAAGAATATTTACAGACTTCTAATATATTATGGTGATTTCTTTGTAAATTTACGACCATTCATTTTTTAACATGTTTCTCTGTCACATTAGACTTTTTATTACAATTGACTATGATATTTAAAAAAATGTTATTTTTTGAACAACAATGACTGTCATTTTAGAGCTAATCAAAAGTTAAAAGTGAGAATTTTGTTTAGTATAATCTTGATAACGACAAAGTGTATTGCCATAAGGTACCCATGATTTATGATTAATGACAGTGGCATTGCGAGCATCGAAACATCGATACGGATTACTAAAAATGACATATATTTACTATCGATATTGACAACAGCTTAAAGAGAATGTTTTTCACTTACGTGACTGGTTCGATTCTGTTTGATATACCCCTTGTGAGATAAAACGGTTGTTTGTCCGTTTGAAACTAAAAGAAATGACCAATTTCAGAAGATAAGCTGTTTATTATCAGATTCAATCTTTCTTTCTTTTTCTTAGCAAATAGTAAAATTTCTGATCTTCAAATAGGCACATCGATATGTCTAGGATACTCACTGTGTAACGACCACTTTGGTTTAAACTCATGTCATATTGAACTTTATTATTTCGAAAACACAAATCATTAACGTCATCCGGTGTTGGATAAACAATTTCAAATCGTTCTGGACAATGATCTAAAAATTTTGACCATTCTGCGCTTGTTCGTCTGCAAGAAACATAGACGATGAGGTTTTATCCACAAAAAAATGAATATTACTTACGTTGTATGATTTGGTACGGTTTGAGGACGATTATTACCGAAACTATAGTGACTCTAAATATACAATAAACAACTCTACTTAAATTTCTTATTATCTATCGTATACTACTTCTGTAGTTTGTCCTGCTGTTCCTGGTCTTTGTGTCTGATGTGTTGCATAATATTTTGGCGCTTCTTTAAACCATTCTGAAAGATATTTCAAAAACTGATTTTCATCTAGAGCTTTAATAGGCGCTCTTACAAACCTGGTCCGAGGTAGGTATATGCTCCACAATGGTAATCAGATTTTCTTCGTGCATAATTATCCGTTTGCTTATTCCAATGTCCCGCAAATAATGGATTATAAACGGTTGTACTACATTCTGTTAAACGTGGTTTGGGATAAATAGGATGTCTAAAAAGAGTAGTTTTAACTATTTTAGTGAGTACGCTAAAGAGACACTTATACATCCTATAGTCATATGATGAGAATAGTAGAGAAACATGATCCGATATAATAACATCGAACTGGAAACGTAATTTTAGTGGATGATAACAGTAAAAGTATTTAAGAAAATTAAAAGCGTCAAGATTGATATTTATATGATACTAATTACAGAATTACTGAGATAATAATACTCAAATCATTGAGATAACTCAATAGCTTAATGTATAAAAAAAATCTCTTTTCCAATGTACTTATCTATACATTGACGGGTCTGTTTCCTTTTTCGTATACAAATTCACATTTAAGTGATATTTTTGCTATTTTTACCTCATTTAATAGCATTTGTGAATTTAATGTACAGTCTCATTTAGTGATCCTTTTCTAAAATTTTTTTTTAAATTAATCGAAACTTACCGTCCTACGTAAGATGGTATTGATGGCAATGGTAATATTCGATTGAGATGCGTAGCCGAATCCGTAGTGCCAAATTGGGTCATTTTTTTCTTTTTTATTAAAAATGTCTATCTATTGTCGTTTGACGTTCAGTTTTTAATAAGAAAAATAGAATAAAAAAGAACAACAATCTGAGAATTTGAAGAATGTTTTTTTCAAAAGTACAGGATACATGCGAGAACAAAAAAACTATCAAATAAATGTTTTTTAAACGTCGATTACAAGAGTCAATAAAATACTACAGTTACCAGGTGTGAAGAAAAAAAATTGAAAAATTAAAGAGCATTATATGTTGGAGCAGAGCAGAACCTTTACTATTAAGTGTATGTTTGTTTCTTCTTTATACAAGAACGATTTAGTGATCGTGGAAAATAATCCTGAAAACAAATTCATCTATGTCATAAATAGTCAAATGTCTCACTTACCAAAAACATCTATTATATAGTAGTTTGTCAATTTTTTTAAAGACTTTATAGAAAACTCAAAAATCAGTTTACGCGAAAAGGTGTTGAATATGAAAATCTTCTGTCATATACGATAATGAACTGCAGTTATACCATATCTCCGTGTTACTCGTCATAAGAATGCTGATTTAAATGCTAGATTTTATGTGGAAAATTTCTGTTACATACACATTTTATGAAAAAATACAAAATATTTCATAATACATCTACGAAAAAACAAGATAGGTTCTGAGAAGTAACAAAAATTTCTGAAACAGCTCTAAAGAACGAAAAATTCTATAAGATATATCGATCTTAGCTTAAACAATAAAACAAAAGCTTTTTTTCTCTCTTTTCAACAGGATTCATTTTAATATTAATGGTAATGAGTACTATTATTTGCAATCTGTATATGTACATGAGAGAAAGAGAGTAATTAAATCAATCAGTGAACATTTACGATGAAGTATTGTCTGTCGCTGAATGATTGTGTAGTCATATTTTTAATCTTGTAAGATTCATTTTAAATCATGAATACTTTTGTACAATTAATATTCTTACAGAAGCATATTCTGTTTTTTCTACTCTTCAAATTGTCAATTTTAAATAAACTAAACAGCAATGTTACATCAACTGTTTTATCCCAATATTTGGCATTAGCGCCTTTATTAACGACCATCACACGACGAAACTCATTCACTAGTACACCGAGTGAAAGAAATTTGCTAACAAATCTAAGTGATGATGAAATTAAAGAAAGATGGAAGAGAAATGGACTGTTTAATGACATGTTTAGTTCAATTCGTACACTGGAGACCAACATATTTTCTAGAAGAACAATGTAGGATCACATCATATTCTTCTACTACTGAAAACGTTAACATATATTCATTACTTCTAGGATGTTTCCTGGACCGAGCACAGCATACATGAGGACGAGAGTGAGCATCACAGCGCGTATGCTAGCATCATTAATAATTATACTTTAATAATTTTCAGATAACTCTACAAACTGCAACATGTAAGAGAACACATAATTCTATCCATTGTATACCCTTCTTTACTGTCTTATTTCTATAATATATGCTTTTGTTTTATATTTTAGTCTTTCCCACACATTCTGTAGAACTTATGCGCACAAATAAAACGCTTTCGTATTGTATTACCAGTAAGTAAATAGGATGTTTATGTTTTTAGATCTCAAGCAGGAAAGCAAGAAACTTTCTAGGTGAACATAGTTTTGATTAATTCTTTAATCCTGATCACAAATCTGATGCCCATTGCTGCTATTAGAACTTTCGAGTACTGTCCTATGGAAGCTAAGTGTCTCATCAAGATATGACTTATGAGTTGCTAAATACTGTAAAATTTTGAATATGCACTCTCATAAAAACTTGTTCAGTCTAAAAATTTCTTCACATGTGTAACTCGATCTACTGTACAAATAACTGACACATCAGATTTCTTTACTTAACAATTTTGGGTAGAGCCTAAGAGGTCTGATCTCTACTAGACAGCGCTTTAGAAATTAACAGCAGCAACGGACATCAAAGTCATAATAAGCGTTAAACATTACTCATGAAAAACTATATTTCATACAAAAAATAATTTATCATCCAGCAATTCCTCTGTAAGTTAGGACAATGTATAACGTCTATTTTTTGTATAAGAAAAAAATCTTTATTTTCTATCTATTAATAATATGAGCACTGTTTTGCTAAGATATTACCAGATAATATCAGTCAGTTTCAGTGACATACTATGTTCTTGTTTTTTAGATGTTGGTCAATGTTTTACATCATTAATGATAAAACGACCATATCAAGAAGCAACATCTTTCTGTTATCAAAGTACATTACGTATATTCACATTATTCTCGCTTTTTAAAATAAAGTGAACAACAATTTTGATCTTATTCAAATTTGTTTTTACCATACCCTGAAAAAAGAATTGCTCTGCAAGTATTCATTCGATTTATATGTTGTATATAGAAAGGAAAAACAAACAAATCTTTATTCAGAGTTCAAAAACTCCAAGCAGGCTGAGTGTCTGTTTGTACACACTTGAAACTACATCGCTCTTTGGTTTTATGTTTACGATGAGATCCATTGTGCTGTTGATTTTTCAAATTATGTAGAAAAGCAATAATGGCATTATATATTATAGCCACTTTTCCGTTTGTAGGATGGCAGTTCGATGGATCTATTAAACCCAGATATATACAGCAAGTATCAGCTGAAGAGTATGATCCCAAAAAACACAAACAACCAACCTTAGTTGATGACGCTTTTATAGAAAATTGGCTAGAATGGAAACTTGAAAATTTTTATGGATTTCAATACGTAGACGTACGTTTTTATCAAAATCTTTTTATTTTTATTTGACTATGCGCATCATCGCTGAATGGTTTAGATGTATATGATGAATGTAAAAAATGGAATTCGAATCTGTCCCGAACTGTATATGAATAACTATTTTAAACGGCCTTGGTGTCATTTATCATGGTCCGAGCCATCTCCTTCTCCTTCGTTGTCAATATTGCCATCACCTGACAGTTCGATAGTTTTCGCACCCTCAGATGTCGAACTCGGATCAACTGAATCAACTTTAGAGGATACCACCATCAGTCCTGCTGAGGACCCACAAAAAACCGGCAATATTATCACAACCAGCACGTTCATCATCTCCACAGATCCAGTACTTTTACAACCCAACATAACCGACCCTATTCTACAACGAACACCTCATCCAATTTTGCCGCTCAGTGTTTATAACACAAGTGTAATTACTATTCAGCCTGATAAAGATCTTATCCAAATAAAAATTGCTATTAACTGGACATGTCCTCGAAACCACACAGAATTTGTTTCTATACCATCTCAATGTTCATCATTTCTTGTGTGTATCAAAAATCAAGAAGAACCAGCATGGGTAAATAAGAACTCAATTATCTTAGATGATGAGTTGTTTTCAAACAACATTAATATCTTCTAGATTGCTAACTGTCCACCAAAAATGCATTTTAGTCCACGAAGCAGAATATGCGTTTTAGATGAGAATGTACGTATATAACTTGAAGTGTTAGTCTTGAAAAACTATGAGATATCTTCTGGACTTCCAGAATGTTGTAAGAAAGTGAAAGACAGATTTATAAATGTTTTCATAGCCTTTATATAACATTAAAACAATTGAAAAAATATATATCCTATACTTAAAGTAGGAAAGTTCAAAAACTTTTACTCAATTAAATTTTACAAATGTTCGCTCGTTCGTCCACTTCTGTTGAACGAATCTGTAACTATAAAATATCCTCTCTTCCAGGTATGCGCAAAAGATTTACTGCAATACAATTTTCGTTTACATTATTTACATAAAAGACCAGTTATAATAGGTGATTATAAATCGATTATACTGTCGGTTTAATAAACAATGTAGAAACCTGTTTTATCAAGATTTCCTCGAACTATTATTATAGAATTTTTGGACGTACTTTTTCAGGGAAAGATCAGAGTCTTGATTGCCGAATGGCAAAAATCGCAAGTCTCAAAAATTTATTTAAAATATGTTCGCCACTTTAATTTTAAACGGACAGTAACCTGAATTACGAAAGTTTTGAGGAAAAGTGTTCAGCTATTTTTTTTGCTTCCAGATTAAACACAGTTAGAAAAAACTGAACGGAGTGGACTGTAATCAGAATTTTGTGCTCTTTCCAATTATGATCTCACGAACCTTTGCCGTGTTTATATGTGAAGAAAAAAGTTCTTGAGATCATAGTTGGAAAGAGCACAAAATTCTGATTACAGTCGACTCCGTTCAGACTTTTCTAAATGTGTTTAATCCGGAAAAAAATAGCCAAACACCTTTGCCCGAAACTTCGTGACACTTGTTAGTATGTCTTTTACAAATGGCTCTGTATGTTTAGATAGATCGATCGCACTCTCTTGTAGCAAATCACCTCAGTTTCGACTACTGCCTCACGAAGAAAATTGTAACTACATCTCTTACTGTTCTCCCAAAGCATCCTCGTTGACATGGGGTTATAGTCCATGTCCATTGGATTTTCCCTACTATGATTATAAAAGAGGTTTCTGTTCCAATGATCAGTCGGTAAGACGCTAGACATTGCTTTTCAGTTATAATGTATTATCATATTCATTCATTTCTTAGGTCTGTCCGCAATTTAAAAGATCCATCTATTCAAAAAAACATGACGTTCTATCACCAGTAACACTATCACCATCACCATCATCACCACCACCACCATCAATAACAACGCAAAAAATAGCAAGCGAACTAATAAAAGTAGGTATCTTAAGAATCATTTTTATACTGCGTTAATTCTCAGCGTGTGCAATTATTATTTTTCTTTCAACAATCTACTATTATATATTTATATGAACTGCTACCTTTTTCCTCCTAGCTAAATCCATTGCATATAATTTTAACA